TTCTTGCTGTTAGCTCAAAAAATAGTTACCTACCTACAAGCGGTCAATCCAAACATAACTCTGCTTGTGGCTTATTTGTATATTCCGATATTTGGATCATAAAAATTATTTTCACTTAATTTATAAATATAAAGCAATGGTTGTTTTTGGAAAAAAGAGCGGCTGAAGGGGGTGACATCTGTTTTCGATATGGAGAACACCGAAAAATTCTAAAACAAATCTGCTCCTAATAATAAGACAAAATTGATATTAATGTGTTTGTAAGGTAAGGTCTGAAGAACCCTAAATTCTTCAATTTTTGATGAATGACTGTCCCAGAGTTTTGTTTCATTCCATGTTATATTTTCCCATCCATATGCCAGTGGCCTCGATCCATTCTTGTCTGTTTTATGTCTTCTTCGAGATGTCTTATTTGAACTAGATTTTCCCTTAGTTTTCTTTCAGTTTGCCGACACATTCCCCATATGTAATCCTAGGCCTTCCTTGTGGTCTCGTGTCTGAAGGTCTAGCACTTTTCGTGGGTCTCCTGCACTCCTGACTTTATTTTATTTTCCTCCCTACCCTGCCTTTAAGACAGTACGGGGGGAATATAAAAGACTCCCCCGGCGAACTCGTAACTATTTTTCATCATTGTCTCATAGATCAATCAGGTTGCCGGGCAACGGCGGTGCTGTGCACACTCGTTACCCCGTTCGGCCACCCCGTCCACTTTATCCTGCATACATGTCAAAACCACCACAGGTGATGTTTGTAAAATGTATCTTTTAATGTAGTGAGTGATCCCTGCTGAAAGTCTTGTATTACGCTTTTATTCCTAACACAATCTCTTCTCGTTTTACTTCCTACTCTCCGTAGATATTTCATCTCAACTGCGATAATACGGATCATTTGTTTTCTTTATTCTGTTTGAAATATTCTTGCTTTATCCTTCTCGTATTGCTAACAGTAGCCCAAGTAGGCACAATCGTAAGCGTTTTCCGATTGTACTCCATTACAGTAAAGCTCTTAGAAGTATTGCTCCTCAATTGATTATGCAAAAGCTCCTCCAGCCAGTTATCAGTTGTTGCAGTTTTTCTTTAGTATCAGCAAGTAGCCCAATATAATCAGCAAATGAATAGCGTTTTGAGAGGATTACCCTCATATTTTTTTTTCAAAGACTGGCCTGATATTCTTCTGACATTGTCCTGATCAAAAATAAAAAATTGTTGTTTTTTTTTTATTTCCTCACCTCTTAAATGTAAAGACCAATTAAAATTGGCAAGCGAAAAAAGCATAGTTAAAATCACTAGCGGATCCAGGATTTAATTTTGGGGGGGAAGGCTTCAGCCCGAAAGCTTTTTTTTCATAAAAATAACGATAATTACTTTGGAAAAAAAGAAAGAAACTAACTACCTGTATGAAATGGTGTTTAAATGATTCCTAAAGCCCTTTTAATATTAATCACACGAACAATAATACTTTAAGAGATACTTTTTTAATATTTTGTTCGTTAAAACATGGTTATATTTTTTCATTTTGGGGGGAAGCTTCAGCCCGAAAGCCCCCCCCCCCGTAGAACCGCCCGTGGTTAAAATTCGCAACCTTGAAACTATTAAGTGACTGAAGCTATAAAATATATACAATTGAATATACAAAGGTGTTTCCTAAATATAAAAAAAAACAAAAAAAAAAAAACTGAAATAGCTTCCTTTAAAGAGAATAATCCAGATAAGTTAAGATTATTTTAAATAAGAAAAGATTGACTTGGCTGTTGGACATTAAATATATATTAGAAACATATTACACCACTAGCGGATCCAGGATTTAATTTGGGGGGGGGGAGCTTCATCCTTGTAGCTTTTTTTTCATATATATAACGATAATTACTTTGGAAAAACAGAAAGATACTAACTACCTATATGAAATGGTGTTCAAGTGATTCTTGAGGTCCTATTAAATGTAATAATACTTTAAGACATAATTTTTTAATATTTTTTACCATAAAACATGGTTACATATTATCATTTTGGGTGGGGAGGAGGTGCTTCAGTCCGGAAGCCCCCTGTAAATCCGCCTGTGTATTATACGAAACATTTTATATGCAGATTTTTGAAATTATGATGTTTAACGACTTAATTTTTGTTTTCAAACTTTTTATCTCTCGGAATATTCTATTTGAAAGGTAATTTAATAAATGAAAAACGAAAAAAAAAAAACCTTATACCGTATAGGACCAACTTAGCGAACATTAGATTGTTTTACGTCGTGCCACGTCCCAAAGAGGTTAAAATAATCGAGTAAGGGGTACATCAGATATTTTTAATATAGAACTAGTGGGGTATAAAAAAACTATTGTACAATAATTTGTATTTTTTGTTATCATATTCATTTTTGCAGGGGAATGGCATACCCTTCGAAGCGCCACGCAGCCCTCGCGTGATAATTCGAGATTAACCACTCAACAAGTCAGCTTACCTAGTAGCTTTTTTTAACTTGCTATTTATCTGACAGCTGTTTATTTTCTGATCACAACAGTATGTATATGGCTTATATCGTCACATTCAAGATGTGATACATTGGGTTTAATCTACAAATTCAGAACTTAACTTATCAAATATTGATCTAACGATAGTCTGCAACGATTCTAGTCTCTGAAATTAAAAATGAAATAGTGTTTTGGAATTTATTTTTAAAACAATGAACTGGAAGAGGATGAAAAAAATATTATGATGGGTTGAAGTAATTTTGAATGAATGAAATGAGCTGTTTTTGCTGCGTTTGTAAAATGTAATAAATGGTATGTGCTTTTTGAGATTTTTGATGCGAAATTTGGATTTGAAATAAACCACATTTGTAAGTTTTGCTGGAAATTTTTTATCCTTACAACACTGGATTGGCTCCCCAAGACCATAATGTCAAGAAAGAGACATAGTAGATTGGAAACATTTTAAAGGTTCTTTTTAAAATATTATTTCTTTAATTTTTTAACTGAATGTGAAAAATAAGTTTTAATATCTTTCCAAGTGAACTCTGTATATTTACTTGAATTTTATTCTGTGTTCCTCGGATGTGAACTTTGCTGTTTTAAATAATTCACTCAGCTTAGTTGAATTTTTAACTACCTCGCTGCCAGGATATAATTTATTACACATCATAAAAAGATTTTTCTACATTCTAACTGTTCTACTGAAAAATTCTTAGTTGCCTAATGTAATTTCCCATCAGAAACCCTATACCAATGGAAGAGGTAAAAAAGATAAATTTGCTTAGCCTTAGAGCAGTCTAGCATGTATGATCAAGAGAATGCTAACATTTTTAGTCTCCATGGTAATAGGACGTAAAAAGCTATAAACCCTGGTTAGGCCATTTTTGGAAATTAAGTCACTTTTATGGTGTTTTAGTTGCTAAACGGTGGAGAAAAACTTCTCAGTCATAAAATGTTAATTTTTTTAATTTTATTTTTAATTTTGTATATAGTGGTCTTCATGAAAAAACCAATAGTTCTCGAGTTATAATTGAAAAAAAAAGTATGATTACCATGTACAAAAAAAAAAAGAAAAAAAAAAAGAAGGTATTTGTATTAATAAAAACAATTTTAATGGATTAATTGGATTTCGAAAATTAATTTATTCTAATATATATTCAGTTATTGTTCATTGCATTGTTACATTGGCCAATTCAATCAAGAGAGGCCTTAGGTTTGATGTTGATTTTAATCATATTTCTAATAGTGCTGAAGGTAGGTATTATTATTTGGTTGTTAATTTCACGAGAACGTGATTAAACTGAACCATTATAGAACTTATCACGATACTTGTTAATTTTTTTCATTTTTATTACTACCATTTTAAAAAGTAGGAAGTAAATGAAGCTGATTGAAAGAACTTGAAATACAATACCAATTTTAATGCTCTATTGTAATTCTTTTAAAGCCTTTTTTTAATAGATTAATTTGATTTCGAAAATTAACTTATTCTAATATATATTCAGTTATTGTTCCTTATGTTTTTATGCACTGGCCAATTCAAACAATTTTTGGTCATTGATTTTGATTTGTTTCTGCGGATTATCTAAGCTAAACACTGAAACGATCACAATATGTTGTATTTTCTTTTTTTTAAAATTATAATGCGTTTACATACTCTAAATGTTAGCACCTCTCAAGGAAAAATGTATTTAAAAAAATTATGTCTAAAAACGTTATAATTTTTTTTTTGTGAACAGAAGTTCAATGACCACTTAAACATCATTTCATATAGTTCTTTTCTTTATCTTCTGGAGTAATTACCGTTATAACAAAAAATAAAATTTCTGAATCCATAAAAAAATATCCTGTTAAAATAAAAAAATAAAAAACAACCATTCTTGGATTTATAGTGCTTAAAAAAGGCTCACATTAATAGTATTATATTGTTATCAGTGGCCGTGTTCCACTTTTTTACTAATACTATAGAACCGTGCTACATAAAGGTTGGGAACCACTGGCCTAGAACATTAATTAATTAAATTCACTTAAAAAAAGTACTAAAAAAGGCTTGATTTCTACATGCATAATTTTAAGTTTGCATTTTGATTTTTTTTAAATGAAGACATCCTGCAAATTCTGATATTTTAAATTTTAGTTTTGACAAGATCATAAAATGTAATTAAAAGGATACTTCATCCAACTTCTTTTTAGCCCTTCGCATTTAATGAGAGAGGCATTTGCTTTATCAATATGAGGTATAAATCAATTAAGATGGTCATGTGGGTTGTAGTGAAATAGATTTATTTATTGTTTTTATGTGATCTATTTGCAGTTCTGTTCCTGTTCGATTGAAACTATTTTAGTGTGAATTCACTTGTTAGAAGTTAAATACATCAGTTCTACTCAATTATTCTGAGGAACTATGAATTGTCTTTTTTTTTATTGAGAACATATGTATTGTAGAAGTTTTATTGTTAATTATGTTGAAATTAAAATCAGTTCTGAAGCCTTATTATCTTGCTAAACTTTTATGGATTATTAAGATACAACTCAGTTACACCAAAAATATTTTATTGTAAAAAGATTGTTTAATTATAAAAAAAAACATTATCCAATACAGTCTGGGGTTTTACCAAAATCAGCATTCCATAAAAACTATTTTACAAAATGCAGTCATAGATAAGTATTGGGACAATATAAATAATTCAAAATACAAACTAATCACAGCCATTTAACATTTAATAATGAAATCAATCAAATTATTAATATAATCACTATATCTAGTATTGTGCCCCTTTGTCGGCAATTATAATACATATCAATAATAATTTATAGATAGACATGCACAACATTAACTTTAAAAAGTTCAAGATCCTGCTCAAACTCAACAAAGTATTTACTTCTCATAGATTCCACAAACAGTTGATTTTTTAAACATGTTATAATCTATTACATTTAAAAACATGTAAATTGGTAACTATTAAATAACCAAGTCTTTGGTCTCATATTATTCACTGTATAGTTGTTTTTATTCTTTTTTTTTTTTCATGACCTTCAAAACTATCAAAAATATTTTGAGCTTTTAACAGTTACCATTTAAATTAATTTGTACTTAAAAAAAAGAAAGAAAAAGAAAATGAACTATTCTAGTTTGTCTAATTAGTCCATTAACTTAGATTTAGATTACAATTCGCACAAAACATTCAAGTGTTTATAAATTGAATCTTTTCATAACCCAAGAGAAGTAGGAATTTTCATCTCTTCAAATCAGTTTGTTCTCTGATACTCCTTCAGTCTTTACTTCGGGTTAAGTAAAAAAAAACTTTCCCTCATTCGGAGGAACCCCTGGAGAGAGCATACCCTTACAACTTGACTCTGGGCTCCTTCCAGCATGCTCCCTCCGCCGGCCTCTGAACAATTAATCAGTCCTCCACATTAAGGTATGGCAACTCGACTCCTCAGCAGGAGTCAGAGACGGTCTGAGATCCTGTGAGTCACAAGGACGCGGTGGCAGTGAAGTTCTGGCGCCTCTTGAGGACCCGGTTTCTGTGGAGGTCGGACTTGTGGCAGACGACGACGGTGCCGCCGGCCTGCTGCCCCTGTCCCTTGCTGTTACCGCCCCCGATCAGGGTCCCGATCATCTTCGTCACTGAGAACTTGCGGCTCTTGCTCCCCACCTGGCCTCTCGTCTCGTTCAGCAGGGTCTCGAAGGCCTGGTAGAGGTCTGCGCTGTTTTCGGCGACAGATACTTCGTAGAATTGGCAACTGTTCCTTAGTGCTGCTCCCCTTCCTTCATTTTCTTCAACCTGCCAAAAAAATAATACAATTAAAATAAATAAGAATAGCTATAAATAATAAAGGACTATCCATTACACCTGTTTTTTGTTTATTCAAGAGAACTCTTTGTTTTATAGATTTACGATTTGAAGTACGTATTGGAAGGTACCGACTTTAATATTTTTGACTTTTGAAGCAATGTTTCTGACTTTACAAATAGTTGGTAAATGTTTAGTGCATTTAATGTAAATGTATCCGAAATAGTGGATCTTTACACATTGATTTAATTTAAGGTTAAATATAGAAAAAAAAATCGATAAAAAACTGCATTTGCTGACAATTAAACCCATTTGCAAAGACCCACTATCAGAAATAAAGCTGTGTAAATCACATTAATGTTAAAAATTTCTCTTAAAGTGTATATTACCGATACATTTACCTTAAAATGTACGAGACACAGACATAAACATTGTAGCCTAAATAAATAATCGATATCTTCGAGACAAAAGTGCATGTTTGAAAGGAACGGTAGATCGGAGAACGATCCAGGCAATTCCAATAATGTTGTGTCGAAACAACGAAATTAGTACCTACTTTTTTTTTTCAACTTTCTACGATGACCGGCGCCAGACGTGTTGCAAAATACCTTCCAAATCGTTCTCAATTTTATTCCAGGGTAACGCGGCACAATAATATAACTCCTAAAGAAAGTCGGTCCATTTTAAATAGGTCTGGTTGCATATCGATAATGAGAGCAGAGAAATTCGCAGATAAAGCGTGAAAGTGACCGCTACAAATTCGTGTTTATTAACCTTATCTGCTCTTGGCTTTATATGGGTCAGGTATTAAATGATGCATTCATATTTTTTTTTCTCATAAGCACAATTACTTGTCGAGAGTATGCTTTTTTTTTTTTTCAAAGGAAACATTAACTTTCTCTCGATATAGATCATAGTCCGTTTTATGAGCTTTGACGAAAACAGGTTTAACGGATACTTTAAGAAGAAATTCGGAACGTCTTAAGATATTTACCTCTCTTAAGTGTTCCAGATCGGCTTTGTTTCCGAGGAGCGTAACGGGAACGGATGCGACAGAGCGAAGTTTCTGCAGATTTTCCAAAGCTTCAACAGCGTACTGGAATGATTGCCTGTCCGTTATCGAGTAGACAATTATGCAGCCGTCGGCCCATTGGACTTGTTCAATTGGAAAGCTAGAGTCTCTCTGAAAATAAAAAAAAAGAAAAAGCGATGAAGCAAATGCTGAGGCGTAGATATTTCGTAATGCAGTGTATTGAAATCAAGCACTTTTGTATTGAATAATAAGCATTTTTTAAGTTAAAATTTCTAATAATATATTACAACAGAACATATCCTTACCGTTTCGCCAGAAACGTCGATAATTTCAACTTCGACCGGGGAATTGTTGATCGTGACTGTCTGTCGGTAGAGAAGGTCTGGAAAAAAAAAATAAACATGTTATTATAGATAGGATGTACAAATATGCGTCATGGTTGAATGGAGGCAATTCTTATGTGAAAAATAACCTGTGGGATTTGTCGTGTGGTCATTTAGTTCTTTGTCAATGGGACCACGTGCACATTTCCATCCCTCGCGCCACTTAATGTATTTCATTCCTCCTTCCCATTTATACTGAAATAATACTTAATCCTGGCCTCGTGCGGCAGTGTCTTCTTATATTTCCCCTTTTTCATTTAAGGTGTCAGTTGTATTTTTTTTTTTTCAACTTTTAAAGAAATTATCCTTGTATTACGAACTATGAAATTATGAACCTATTTATTTTGTAGTCTTTCATAAGTTATGACTTATAACTTTTTTTTTTTTATTACTGTGTATACAACCAGTATTCGAAAGGTATTTAGAACATAAAAATAAACTTTTCTATCTTAGTCCACTATAATTAGCCCGAGATATGCTGCACGTCGAGGTGACAAAAACACATCCTTTCCGGACCACTTTAGTAAAAAGATGTTAGTCAAGCGTAAAAAAAAAAAAAATAAAATAACAGCCCAGTCTCCGGCTTAAGAGCCATAGGAATGCATGATTATTTCAAGATGTTCTATTTCAGTTTGGAACCCTCGAACCTACCTTATTCTTCAGTGAGAACACTTCAGTCTTTATCTATGTTCCACATAGCTCGCGTGCCGACGCGATAATTCCCAAACCAATTTGACGTCTATCACCGATTTATTTGAATTTGATTTTAGTATGAGATGGATAGGAATGAAATGAATTGTTTTAGGGAAATTTCAATTTTTAACTTCGTCATTTGATTGTTATTTTTATTTTTAAAATCCATTGTAGCAAGATATATATACACATAACGTTGGCCAATGAACTTCTCTATTACATCAGCCTTAGGGCAAAGAATTTTGAATTAATGCCTTACCATTGAGCTTAGGGCCTATTTACATGAATATTCATTTGGGATCGACGTACCTCCCCCCGAACTCCCTGACATTGGCGAATCTGTGGCGGGGGGAGGGGGAGGTTCGGGATGAAGCCTGAATTTATTTTTTTCATTATTGGTCCATATTTATTTTTGTGTGATTCAAGCAAAATACTTAAACAATCAAAATATATTCTTTTTTTAACTATAATGGATATAGAGCTACTTATAAACGCATTAATAATCACGTAATTACAATTTTATTCTCCCTTCAACGTCTACATAAACATGATTTCATGTAAATAAAACCTCCCAAAAAATTAATTCTGAATTCGCTAATACTCGCTGGAATGTTATATTTTCCGAAAGACCTCAAATAATTTTGATTAATTTTATTGATAATTAAACTAATTTAAAATGATCAATATTTTAATCCGTTTCAAGTATATTGAAGCAATGATATATTCTATAAATTCCGAAGAATAACTCCAATCAAATTGTTAAGAGTAGCGTATAATAAACCGACCGCCATAATGGACTTGGAATCATTTCCAATCGTGGTACTTTTTTTTCCGCCAGAGGGATCTTAAACACAAAAGATTATTTTTTATGGTAAATGGAGGTGTAAAAAGACAGTGGGACATGAAAGTCATTAGTTTTTTTATAGCCAACTTGGTAATTATAAAGAGCTCCTCAAATGGTGGTTTTGTTTCACTGACTGACTTTGACTTTAATTATCGTGTAAAAACGAAAACGTATTTCATAGTAGGGATTCACGCATGGGCAACATCTTTTTTTTAATTTTTTTGGCGTATTTCATGCATTGTGGTTAATTAAAAACCACTCTTATAAAAAAATATTGGTATCATAGGAAAACATCAACCGGTCGATTTTACTCCATATTACATAAATTTAGCAGTTTTCTTATATTTCTGAGATAAATATGTTTTCTGATGGAAATAAAAAAAGATTTAAATATATAGCCAGTGTTTATTCCGTTGTAATATTGTTTTTCTAAAAAGAAAATTGCACGCGCACCTTTTTTCCTGTTTGTTTGTTGGCAGAAGCTGAGATCCTCATTTATCAGCACACCTATATTTAAAGGTGAAAAACAACTAGTTGTGTTTCTCAAATAGGTCTAATATTTTTTTTAAACATTTAATTAAAATTAAATATTTAAAAAATATATATATATTATTTTTTAAACATTGTGTTGCTAAAGATCATTTTTAAGTAGGAACTGAAACCATTGGCATCTGAGATAGGAAGTGAAGACCCTTTCAAAGACGGACGTAAATATAAAACTCCAGTCGTGTTAAATCAAGTTGTAAAAATAAATACAGGGACAAATGGATTAGCCAACACGACCTTCAATTTTTTACTTGTTTACAATAATTATACATTTTGATTTTTGAGTAGCTCCTAAGCATATTTGAATGTTTTTTTGATTTTTAGTTTGTTTTTTTTAAGGAAGGATGTAGTACATGATTAGCACCTGAATCCTAATGACCCCCTACATTTTGAGGCACGCGGAACATGCCTTTTTTTGTCTTGTTTTAATTAATGAACAATAGCCTCAAACACGCACGGTTTATTGTACGCAGTCGATGAAACAAACAACTCATTATGACGGGATGGGTTTTTAATCACATGTGAAAATGAAGTGCATAAAATGTCGGCCCATTGTGCCTTAGCTACGAGGAACAGCCCACAAAGGCGAGGTGGATTTTAAACCTCATGTCCTTCCCTTAACCGGAAAGGGATTGTTCTCAGGGGTTCATTGTTTCGAGAACAATTCGACCTTTGGGTTGTGAACCTTTGGAATCCATTAAAATATTTCGGATGAGAAGAGAATTCTATAAGAAACTTCTGCCTCATCAGTGTATCATAACAAAAAAAAAATTATTTTTATAACGGACAATTATATTCAACGGCGAATGATCAGCTGAGACTGGGTTTTTATGCAATTACATATTTTGTTAGCGTGCAGTTTTGAAAGTGCAGATGAAATATTTTTACGAATTCTCTTATTGAGAAACAAATAATCGAATTTTACAATGCATATTTGGTGATAAATGGGTATAATTACTCATTTGATGTATCAACCAATTAAAAAAAAAAGTATAACTAAAATATAAAGTTCGAGATGAAATTCCAGATTATTGATTTTTTGCTTTCACTTATCTATATGTTTTTTTTTTATTTCCTTGCTTTTCATATCCCCTTCATACTCTTTTTATTACATCTTAACTATAACTCCAAGTTTCAATTTCAGTCTGTTTTTTTTTATTTTCGTTATTAGGGGTATTTTATTATATTTATTATTATATACAAATGTAATATTTCTGCCTATTTTCACTACGCATCGTTTTATTCAAACTTGAAATATTGAATCGACGCTTGAAATGGTAAAACAGTTATTGTTAAAAATCAGGTTTCTAGCAAAAACAACAAGTCAATAATTTAAAGTGCCCATTTGCTTCTTATTTCATGTTTTTATAATGCATATTTTGCAGGTTTGTATTGCATAAAAATCTGGATTCTGATAATGCGTAATAATTGTAAAGTAATGAAATAAAAATTATTTTCCATTACTTATTTCCTATTAACGTGGCTTAGAGTTTTTTAGTTGAAAAGTTGATCCACGATGTTATTGAAGACAGCTATTCTCATTAACACCTGACACAGCTTCCCATGGCTGTTTACCCGACCGGATGTCCGCGACCTTACCCGCAAATAGAATGATGCCTGCCGGAAAATAGGCGCCAGAAAGTTGCGCGGTCGGTGAGTCGCCTCAGGTGTCTCTGCCTTAGCGAGGGAGAACGTCCACTTTTTTCCTTTTTTTTTTTTTTCATATAAAGAGACTCGGTACAACTCGGGCAGGAAAGCTACCGCGACCTGGCGCCGACGACTAGAACCAGGAAGGCTCTTTCTCCATTCTCCGTCTCGTTTCCAACAGGTCCTTCAAGATCGAGGAGATGGGAATAGACCAGGACGGCCGGGTGGATGTGTCGCGTGGTGTGATATATGGCCGGTAAATCGCGTAGTTTTATTTAGATGGTGATGCCTCTCGCTTAAAAGAAATGTGGCCAACTTTATAACATTCCACACTTTTGCACATTTAATTGGGGAGAGGAAAAAGGATGGTATGTATATATAGAACTGTCCTGTTAAATTGGACTGGGGTGGCTCCGGATCGTATTTTAAGCTAATACACATTCCATTCAATTGAGTACACTGTACCCTAGTTTCGAAATTATTAAATATTTAAGATTTCAAAGTACATATTCCTTCTTTAATTCAAAATGAAGTTATTTAATATGTTGAAATAATATCGATTTCCACACGTATTTCATTCCGTATTCTATGAAGTGAATAGAAATGCTATATTAATAATTATTATATTTGCTATTTATAAGGATAATTATCATTAATGCTTTGTTTTTTTGTTGAATATTTTTATCGTGTTAGTATAAACCTAAATAAACCGATGGATTATATAAGCAAAATTCAAAACTGCTTAATCAGATACTTCGTTGACAAACTTTTTATTTTATTAACATTAATTAAGAAAAACGCGTCACACCGAACGCATTATTTTTAATCCGTATTAAATCGATATGACATAGTTTGGTGTGATTTGTCACAGTGAAGTTACATTTGCTAGGTGTTGCGCGTTACGTAGTGGACCGATCCACGCTCTCCGTTACTTTCTAAATTGATGTGCACCGTGCGATTTTTTCGCTGTATTATCTCTTGGTGCGTGCTGGCTTTCTAGAGCTGTTTAAAAATTTTCCTTTCTTTTGCCCTCTCAGAAACTGATGTTTATAACTGAAATGAATTATAAAACATCGCCATTATAAAGTTCAACGTATCAGACTTCCACATTAGGATTCTCTCTGGACCCGTTCTATTCTTAGTTCCTGACCGGCACCCACACATCTGCGCACATACTTGCACAAATAGTGTCTGCTCAATGGCCAAGCTCCGAGGTATTTGAAAACATGGTGATTTTCCAAGCCTTTTTTTTCATACAAACGTCAAAACAAATCCTGTTTACTTTAAATCATCAGAGGATCTCCATTCATAACTTTGTTCATTATTTTGAAAAACATTTCTGCAAAGTAAAATATTATTTATGAAGTAGTTTTGTGAATTTTATGAAAATGTTTCTTTACTTATAATGAAGAATTTATGTAACTTATTCAAGTGTCAGGGTTGGAAAAATTCAAGTTATTACTCTATTTATATATCTATTTCCTTACATTTATTGATTTATCTTAACAATTCTTGAAAGTTTGCCTCTTCCGCGTTTATAAATATAATAGGTTACACAAGGTGTTTGAAACCGGTTTCTTATTTAAACTATATCAATAGTTGCCTTCCCATGTAAATTTTTGATATAATTATTACCCTAATACGATGTAAGTTGGTGTCCTACAAGTCAATTAGTCTTTAAATGCTGCTTTGAGGGTGGGAAATCAATTACTAATGCACGGGTCCCTTGTGTTGGAGAATTTTTAATATTCATAAGGTACTTTCTATTTCTTAATTTGTTTGTTAATGTAAATGATATGCTTACCAGTGTTCGATCGGTATTCGCCAATGTATCGCCTCGTAAGGTAGCGTACAGTCAAGGCTGAAACAATAAAAAAATATATTTATTAGATTTCTATTTTATAAATTACTTAATTTTAAAACATAATAATTTAGTGTTATAATATCCGACGAGAAAAGAATGTGGCAGAATGAGGCGCCAGATTAGCCAATGCCCTTTTATTAACGTGGCGCGGGACCAACGAGAAGCAGCGCTTTGACGTCCGCGCTTCTCATCTTGGACTGTTGAGTAACTAGACGTTTATTTATACGGAGGATTTTGCCTTTTCATAAATAAAGTCAGCTCACAGAGCAACTGGAAGAAAACTATGTATTGTATGTTAATATTGTAACAGCTGAAACTGCGTATCTATTCGCAAAAATAAAACAAAGGATTTCAGCCACGCAAACCTCCTAAACTATTTTGGAGATATTGAGTTCGAAAGGTTCTCAGAGTAGACTTTGGTTGGACAAGAAGAAACTTTACTATGGTTTCATTATACAAAGCAAAGAACGAGAATAGTCAATAGTTGAGAATTGAGAGAACAACGTATTGACAAGTCACCTAGAAATAAACAACGTCCTCCCCAATAATAAATATGAACCGTATACAAGTTTCAAACGTTGGACTAGTTACCTCGATGTAATAAATCAATTAAAAGCCAGAGTACTGGCTCATATATTTTTTTATTACTACCAAAAGAACCTTGAACCTTTTCCAATAAGGATTAAGCCTGTCAACAAAAATATTAACTAAGAAAAAAAAACACAGACTAGAAGATATAGTTAATCTTGACTCCTGGCAAGAGCGAGTAATACAAGACGAGTTCTTCAACACTCAGATCGGATTCTCTTAACATTGATATACAGAAACGTGAAAATTTTGCGAAAGGACGATTACTGATATCAAGTTATGCATACAGTTTATGATGTTCTTTTTGCGAGATTATAAATATCTCCTTAGGAATGGTCTGTGAACCAATTATCAAAAGTGAATTACCAAAGATCACCTTACATCAGCTTAGAACATCTCATTGAGTTATCCCAGCCCTCAGACTTTCCACATCTTTACAACCACGCCTAACTCTCCTTACAGCTTACAAGTTCATCACTAATGAGAAAGGATGTACTACAGAAGTACGTGATTCTATTTATAGAAAGGTTCGTGCTGTATTTATAGGGGAAGAGCCGACGCCACTGAGTCACACAGGCTATCAGTTAAGAAACCGGTTGTTAAGAGTGGGGGGGAAAAAGGAAGGAAGGCAGACAGATTTCAATGAAGGAACTGAGCTCTATCTGCCGGCCTAGTCTTAAATAAGATCGAACCAAAGTGAATTCGCTACAACAGAAGTATAAATATTTACTTGCGAGTTTGGGCAACCTAAAAGAAACCCATATATTGAACCTTGAAGCCATGTTGGAAGCTAGATGGCTTTAAGCATTAAGTGTTCAATAATTTGATATACAAAGTAAACCGTTAAACCTTATCTCCATCGATATAATCTTTCAGTAATCTCAGGAAGTCGGGTAGATTCCATCGAAAGACTAACACGTCAAAACAAAAAAAATGAAGACCTTAAAGTATCATTGATTCGTTTCCCAATAATTCATCGTCAGTATACTCATAACAATTAAATAACTAAGCGATATTTAAAATAATTCTATACAACATTAAAATTTAATACTGTAATTAAATGCATAACTTATCGTATTATTTTCATAAATGTAGGTATTTTAAAAATCAGATTCATATTTAACACTAACACTTAAAGTTAGAAAAAATGATTGGAAGATTTTTTTGACTTCTTATAATGATTATTTTATACTAAATAAAAAAAAAATCTTTATTCTCTAATTTTAAAAAATAGAATCAGAAACATATTTGGAAAACAATAAGAGTTTATTAATTATTAATCATTCATTAAAAATATTTTCTTTATATTATAACGATAATATGCAGCTATTTGACATTATACATTCACTGACCTCACTAGTTATTTAGGAGGCTGTGAGTTTTTCTCTACCTTATTGCTAAGATGCGAACCTGTGTTCGTTTAATAAATTTGTTTGGTATATTTATAATTGAAATGTGCTATAACCCTCAACTCGTTTTATGATACTAATTTGATTTGAGGTAAATATTATGTATTATTTTTGATTGTTTTATTAACTTTTTGAAATGACAGAGTAAACATAGCAACTTCTTAATTGAGTTGATATTTATCTCAGTTCATTAGATCAATATTTTAACCGAAATAAGAAATATAAGTATTTATAGTTTAAAATATTTTACTTGTCATTATTTACGATAACTTTAGTATAAAACAATAACGATTTATAACAATGAATGATTATGTGCTATTATTTTTTAACATACTGCTTTTTTTTCTTCCAATAAATTTGTTATGAATGTGAATAATAGTACTTTAAATGAAAATAATTTTATTTTATTTAGAGATTGAAAAATATAAGTTGAAATGTTGCTGTTTTGACTCAGTACATTCACTGACTCCAGCCGTTAATTAAAATGGCAGCGTTTTTTCTCTCATTGTTCTGTGATTCCCAGTTTTGAATATGTAATGTTTCATAATTAAGTTATCTGTTATGTGTAAGTTTGTGGTTGGATTGTGACAGAACAGCTTTGTCACTTGTGTTATCTTGTACAAGGTAAATATTATCTGTTATTGATCTAGGTTATTTAATTAAATGTTTGCATTACAAAGACACGCAACAACAATGTTTCTCTTGGTTACAGCACTGTTTTTCTTTATTTTACTTTGATAAGAACATATAGTTGTTTTTTTCGATTACATCCACATGCAATAATAAGTTTGTAATAACTTCATGATTTATACTGTGCATGGTAATGTACTTAGTCTTAAAAATTAAAATTAATTAATAATAACTAGATGGTATAATAATAATAGGAGCTATAATATTTTTAGAATAATACATTATTTTAAAAAGATTAATAAAATAATTACCTGATTTCCCAACGCTGATCATTCCGAGGACAACAATCCGTACTCGAGATGTGTTAGTTGAAATCTTCTCTTCTGTTTTCATTTTCTATTAAAAAAAAAAAAAAATAGATTTAGTTAAAATGTTTTAATAAATATATGAAATATATAATAGTAATTCCTACAAGATATATGTTTTTAAATAATTATTTTCAATTAGCTTGTGTATTTGTAGTGTAATATAATTCAGATCTTAAAAAATACTGTGTGGTTTCTGACCACTTTCAAAAATCTCATGTTACTATAGATCCGTTTCAGTTTAGAATGTCCCTTTTTTTTTTCTCTCACCCTACTTACGTATTTTTTAATGAGTTAAAAAAAAATGATGATCTATCTTATAAAAAATGTAATTAGTTCTTGGGGAAAACGTAATATGAAATTTCAGACTTGAAACAAGGACAAAAAAGCGTGGGATCTTTTATTAACTCCGAATTATCGTGTTATTAATTTATTGTAACTATTTATTTTTTTTTAATCTTGGTTGATTGCTATTTTAAATTAGTAATTGTGTGGGTGAAATTAATTAATGGTTTTTAAAGACGTTTATGAGTAATGGAAGGAGGCGATCTCCTTCACACTATAGAGATGACTTTTAAAAGTTTCTTTTTTTTTTCTCTTTTTTTTTTATAATTGCTGGTATTTTAGACTCGGGTAACTCGCTCTAGTTAAAACGAAGTTGTAAAAATTATTGTTATTCTTGGTCGTTTTACTACAGATAAATGTTCTCATCACCAGATTAGAAGTGGTTAGAAGTTACGGGACAGCTATTCTTATGTTAGTTGATAATGGTAAATGTTAGTAGTTAAGCGCTATAAAATTCCTAGACTCACGGCATGCCATTCCAAGAGAAGGCTCTTTAGGTACGCCCTGCACTCTGGTTTTAAGTTATCAAACATACCACGGTATAAGGCCCCTGAAACTGTATAAAAAACATTAATTCTGGATTTTCCATAATAATGAATAAACAAAAAAAATTATTTATAAATAGCCTATATATTATTGTGATTATATTATATTTAGAGTCGGTATTTAAGTTCACATTTCTGATTTCTGTATGAAAAAAATGTTTTATAACAAGGTTTAGCAATTGGGCTTATGCAACGGACAATTTGTTGTATGTAAAATTCGCCAATATTACGATCCAATTATTCTTGGGATAGTTACGCAGGATTAACCGAAGAACGTTTTACGTTTTTTCTCGATCGGATTGCATCAACTAAGTCTTTAAGTAGTCAATGAGATATAAAATTATGAAAATCATGGATCTCTATTGTGCTGAATAAATTAGCTTTATAAGAAATCCTTCTTTGTCTAGTTTTATGTTTGAAAAATATCGGGATTGGGATAATTGACATAGAATATCGATCGTTTTTATTGATCTCGATCCACCCGCCATCAGAAATCAATAATTGGAACTTATTCGTTGTTACCCATTATGCCTAATACGCAATAATATCTTTTAATATTAAATAAATTATGATTGACATGTTAGGTCCTTGTAGAAGTTGATCATCTAGCCTTCACTAACTAGAGAGTACACCCCTGACCTTTTGCAGCGTGAGGAAATAGATCTGGCACCGGTTCATGTCTTACCTTCTTGAAGTCATTCCCTTCTCTCTCTGGGCATTTTCATCAAATAAATACATACTTAGCATACCTATACACCTATACTTGTATGTATGTATGTTAAGTTACCTTCTTCGTTATAAATACTAAAATTCCACTGTTATTTTAGTTGTCGACTGCCGAAACTGAGACGGCGGGAAATATGCCAGGAATTCAACTATGTGCAAGATTTAGACTTTGAACCCTAGGCGAGGATCATTTTAGTTAACCGTTTTCGAGTTATGGCAATATAAAAAAAATATATTCCAACTTTGAAGTGAAATTTATGAAGAATTAATTATCTTTGTCATATTTAATTATCGTTATATATGATTCATTCTTTCAAAGTTATGTAAGACTTAACCACCAATTGGTTTAAATATACGAGTATGTTTCCAAGCTGTTTATTTACTTGTTTGTTTTCGCTTTTCGTTTATCCTATAGTGTTTTCCATTTAAGTTAATAAAACAAAACTCCAAAGTATACTTAATATTTTTGAAAAATATTAAGGGTTACTTAAGATTTGACGCATAATATACCCTAATTCACTATTGTTATAAACTAATATTCAATATCCTCAAAACCGTGTACTCCATATTTCCTAATCACCCGTCTCCTTAGACTAGATCCGCCGCCTGGACGGATGACCCGTAGTCCGGCCTCTTGATGCTCTCTTGGCAACCTACGTCGTTTTTTGAAGCTGCCAGATTAGATCGGAATCCAGAACCGAAATAACTACTAGCCAAGACAATCTAGATAAAAAACATCTTAGCATCTTAAAGGGTACCGAAGCTTTCGGTTTTGCCACGTGCTTGTACTTTATTTTTTTAATAATATAATTTTATTATGAAACTTTATGTCTTGTTCGGGGAACTGGGTGATTCTCATCATATTTCAAACCAAGGCTCAAGAAAACAGTGGTAGAATTGAAGAAGTTTAAATTCACTCAACTAAAATTATTTTAATTGTTAAAGTTAATTGAACTCGAACACAATCCCTAACATTGCTTAAAATTAGTCAGGTTAGAAAAAAAAAAAGTAAAATTAAAAATAAGTCTGATATTATTATTGATAAATATTAATTCTATTAATTTAAAAAAAATGTATAAAATAAAATAAAATTGTCTAATAAATAAAACTTTACTAAATTGTTTTACTTTTATTAAATGTATTGAATTTTAGTTACTTCTATAACTTGGAATTACTGTCAACAATTAATATATTAACGGTATGTTGTGTGTTCCTTAACGATGTCAGAAATGAGTTTCATTTTTTTTTTTTTAAGATCACTTCTTGTTTATGGTTGAAATGTATTGGAACTGGGGTCTCCAAATTACGCCCCGCGAAAGTTTCTCTGATTGCATGATAGAATTTAAAAAATATGAAATTTAATAAATCACTCAAACACGAGGTTGCTTCAACATTTATTGTATGGATTGTTTCTCTTAAAAATATCAACTAACAAATGAAGTGTCTTTTATTGAACAAACTTTTTATTCCGATCAGAAGCAATTAACAAAGGCCCGCGTAATTTAGTGGAGGTCTCAATGTGGCCCGTGGATCTAATGTTTGGAGACCCCTTAGAGTATGAACTAGTAAATAACAAGCAACAAAGTCTTGAGCTCATGCGAGTTACTGATAAATAATTTAGAGTTACGTTATAGCGAATTATCATTCTCCGCTAATGAGCTGAAGACCTTATTGCCAATAATTATCGAGAAGTGTTATGCTCTACTCACTCTCTCCGACCTCTGTGGTGACCAAGTTGTGTGGAAGTATGGACGAACTATCGAAGAACAGTTAATACCTTCGGTGGGACTGGCACTACTCAAACACACACTGAGGATCGTGGCACACCTGGTACACTACTGATACCGCTAGCCGGGCCCCCTGTTCTTATAACCTCTCCACTTCGCGGGAGGGGGGCGCGCTGGCGCCGAACTCCTTCGGACGCCACTCCGTCGCGAGCTCTGCGACGGAGAGCATCGAGTGTCCATAATTGGAGGCTCGCGATCTATCTCGTCCTAGGGTAACGTCCTTCTCGATTTACTCTTGAGCGTTTGATTCCTTCATAAAAGATATCTTCCTTAACGTCCCCCTAGTTTCGACTTGAGAAAATATTCATGCGAACATCAACGCGACCAATAACATGTGATTGAACGTGAACAGAAAACATCATAGTGTTTTGATTTGTAATAACAACAGTTTTTTATTTAGTGGGCTTGTTTCTTAAAGGTAATAGTGCAATAGTAATACTGCAACCCCCTTTTTAAAAAAAAAGTTTTGTGAAGTAATAATAAAATCATGACATATTTATTGGCTTTCAAAATATTAATTTTTTCTTAAAATAAAACAGTGCGTTCAGCCATGTTCAATTAATTCATTAAAAGGGTGACCATTTTTATTAAAAAAAACTTTTTAAAATTTTACTAAATTATTTGTTTTTATTAAAACTTTGTCTCATACTTCTAAGAATATAAACATAAATATAAATATTAATGTGTAACATCAATCCATTTTACTTTCTATTCGATGAAATCTTTGGTACGAATTGTTGACTGCTCAAAATCGGGAAGGACACCCAGTGTTTAGAAGAATAATTTAATTTCAGAAGATTTTAATCGGAACAGAAATTTGGGAGAAAAACGCAATATTATAACCGCTTTACGTGGAAAATATTTTAACAATCATTATTATTAATTTTTATATTTATTAATAAAATGTGTTTTTAGGCAATTATGTTTGTCACAATACATCCTATATCACGGGAAAACAAGAAATAAATGCTTTGTAACAACCTTAATTGCATGAGTTGGTCGGGGGGTGCGGTCAAATAAATATTAAATCTTTAAAAAATATTATTTTTAATTATTACGCCTTTTTTAATTATTATTTTTAATGATTACGGTATAATAATTAAAATACAATTTTTTAAAAATTTAGTATTTATTTGACCGCACCCTCCCTGACCAACTCCTTCTCATATTATATCACGGTCAACCATTTCTACATCAACTTTAATTGTAGTGATTTTGCAGAAAACACGGGTACATTAAGGCGAATGGATAGGAAATCACATCATTTCTTTACGCAACTTAAGGTGAATTTTAAAATTGTTCCTTATAAACTGCAACTTAATATGGACTTATTAAACGAAGTTTTCTTAAAAGTGGGGTGAATGTAGTACAGTTAAATGGTGATAACAAATATTCACAAATAATTTATGACTTTTTTTCAAACATAACTTAACAATGAAAACTCTAATTTTGTTTAAAGTAACTATTGTCCAGTTTATTATGGAGCAATGTACAATCACGTAATTCAAATATCTTGTAAGTTATCGCATCGTATTCAACAAAAAACGTGACTCACTTAAAAAAACTAAAATCTTAAATTTCCTACTTTCCTACTGGGAATTGGGCAATTGTTTATATCCACTTTTTTGTAGATCTTGCTGTAAACTATCAACCTTTTAAATATTTACCTCTACTAGCGGGACACCATGTACTTTAAAATTATAAATAAAGCATCTCTATTACTTAAAACAAATATTAGGATTAGTTCTTTGTGAAGTAGAGATAAGAAGTTTAATGGTTCGATATACTTTCTAAAATTGTATTTATACCAATTATTAACTGAAAATACTTGAAAATTATTTATTACACAATTTATTCAAAAAACACAATTTTCTCATCATATTTGAAATCATGCGTTTGAAATTAGTTTTGGTCGAAATAATTAATACTTAAGAAACATTTTTATAACTTCTTTTACCAGTGCGTTTGTTGTTACATATTTTTAATATATTGGTTTATTATTTTCAATAATGAACCATTGTAATCAATTGTAATCAAAATTCAAAAACTTAACCGTCTCTCACAATTTGAGGTTTTACGTTTCAGGATATGCAGAAATTCGAAAAACGAATAAATATCTCCGTCCGCCGTCCGCGCATTTTCTCCGAAACTACTGAACCGATATTTTTCAAATTTGGATTTAAAATCAGAGGTTGCCCTAGGATGATCCTCCTTTATCGACATTACTATCCGCCTTTTACGTTAAAAACGGCGGCCGAAAAACCTGTGTTGCTATAGACTGCAGCGTCTAAACAAATGTACCGATTTCAATGACAATTGGCTAAATTCTTCTTCTTGATGCCCTTTAAATTTATCTATATAACATACTTCAGCTAAAAGATGCTGGAAAAAAAGTTACGAGGGATGGTAATATTAGATTCCGAATAACTCAAAAAGTATACACTTTTTTTGTTAATATTGTGAGGAGATGTTTCAAAGGTATTAAAATTTCTTAAAAAACGATGAAAATTTCATCGAAATCAGAGCACAGCTTTTTTAAAAGTTTACGAAATTTCGTAAAAAAAAAAATAGTTAAAAGTCGGACTATTAAGAGCTATGGTCTCTCGATATTTTTATGTTCTAGTGCAAAATATGTAACTGAAGTAATGCTATTTTTTTTTTTTAGAAAATTACTAATGATGAAAAAAAAAATGTTTACGCAAATAATTTGAATTAACTTTTTATTTTTTTTTTAATTTGTCACTAGAAAGGTAATGTTACTTTAGGTCTATAATTGTTAGGAAATAATAAACCATTGTGAAATAATTTGCAGTGTTTTTCCTTGTTGGTTTGAAAGTTCCTCTATATTAAAAATCCAAAAAAATATGGTTCCATCCAAAAATTCAAAATCTTCGAAAAAATGTGCCCATCTCAATTTTTTTTTCTTTAAAAGAAAAACACGAAGAACCCAATAAGTTTAAGAAAATAATAAATCCAATTTCGAAATATTATAATATTGAGATTCCTTGATTCCATGGAGTTCAGATTGAATTCAAAACAAAAATTATCAGATCTCTAATAATAGTGATTTTATATACAATTCACGCGTTTTATAAGAGTTTATATGTAATTCTGGCAAAATATTTTAAAATTACAAACTTATTTTAAATGATAAATAAAATATTTTAATATAGTATTTTTTTTTCTTTCTTCTTCACGCAACATAAGTGATATAAAGATCCAATATAAGTTTTAAAGGCTGATATATTTTTGTTAAACATTCTTAAAAATGTTTCAATATGAATTTTATTAAAAATACGTATATTTTCTGTTCATACTTATCTTTCCCATCTATTGTAAAATTTTATTGGTCCAAGTAACACACTCAAATATTCCTGGGTATCATATTCCCATATTTATCTCTTCAACTATTTATGGTATTTATGTAATGCCTATTTCTGAGGACATATGATTTTCCTTAGCAACAGAAGTGTTGTAGATGAAGCATAGTCGGGATATTTTGGTGTTAGTTCGAAAAGCATGAAGATAAATAAGAATTCCGAGAAAAAAAATTAGTTGATTTTGATTAATTTCAGAGACGGCAAATACTACTATGAGTGCGAAATATTTTCCTCAAATTGAATCACTGTTGAGAATTCAACAACTACTTCAGTTAATCGTTTGTAATCAACTGAAGTAATAATTAAATTTATTGGTACTCAAAAAGGGTCAGTATTTGAGTAAAATACTTGGTTCTCAGTATTCAGAATAACATTTGCCCTTCTCTGATTAATTTATCACTGTGATATTAAACCTAAATAAAATACTGGTACTTTACAATTTTCTGTAACACGAGTCCCTTTTCGTTCATCTAACCTCTCCATTAAAATAATTTATCAGTCAAATTGCAAAAAAATATTGCTGAATGAACGCTTTTGATTTTTCCAAAATTGCTGAACAGAATTAGAAAAAAAATTCCTGGGGTAATTTTTAATGGTAGAACAAGTAAAAAAAAAAAAAAAAACTAAAATATTTGTAGAAAAACTGATGTATGAGAAAATATTCAAACCTAATTATTTTTTTCTAAAAATACTGCGACAGGAGTGGTTGGTATGACGTTTCTAATGTCAACAAAACTTAAAAATAATTAAATTAAAATAACACAATGGCTGTAATATAAAACAAAGTTTCGTTAAATACGAAGTTTCATCTTTAAGGTGTTAGTTTCCGTTTTCTATTAATGAATCACAGTTCTGATTACTTTTTTTTATTTTTTTAAATACTGATAATGGTCAAAGATAAATTTTATTAATAGTCTATTAGCTATAAATATATAAATTTTGAAAAATTAAATAAATCTTTACATCGAGAATTCTGAAGTCTATAATAATTGTAAATGAAATATTATTTGTGCGTCATTAGTTTTTTTCTGAGTTTTGCAGTTGAGAACGGCTTTGAGCTACGGTTACAGGAACTGTTTTTCACGCGGGACCAATGAAAAGACGTAGCAAATATGTAAAAACAGCATCAGAATTGTGTTGGATTATGCATGAAAAAAATTAAGTCTGGCCACCACCATTATGGTACATTGTGTCTGTATTTGCTTAATTTTTTTTCTATTTATATTTTTTATTTATTCAGAAATATTACAATCTGTCACAATTAAGGACATTTATAATAGTGTTCAGAGAGCACATTCACACTGAACACTAGTGTGAATGCTTAATGAATAGGCAAACTAAAGGAACGTTGGTAATTACTTTCGACCATTTTTTCGAAACTGGAGATATGAAACAGAGGATTCAAATTTTATTTTGCTGTATCTCTAATTGAATGATATATTTTATATACATAAAAGAAGAGAAGAAAAAAATTATTAAATAATTTTTTTTTATATTCACATTATCAAAAAAAAAAAAAAAAAAATAGGATATTACACAGTAGGCACAACTGAAATATTTCGTAAATATATTTCTTTTTTATTAAATCATTTATTTAAATTTCCAACTACCCATACACCTATTCTAAAATGAATGGTTGCACTACGATGTCAGGTAATCTTTTCT